TGGGAACATAAGGGCTGGGTTATGATAGCTCAGGGTGAAAGGAGCTTCAGAGGAGCAGTGAGAGATGCAGGATTCTTTCATAAAACCTGCACAGGAGTATGTTCTGCCTCGTGCTGTATTATCTTATAATCATGCATGTGTGATGACTTAAAAATCATTTAATGCCTTGGAGCATTGATTTCCCATTCACACACACCCCTTTTTTAACTCTAGTGACGATCATCTGGCTTTGCTTCATGACTTGTCACTGCAGCACTCGTAGATGCAATATGTAAATAAGGATTTTGAATAGTAGTGCCTGCAGTTTTTTTAGGCTTATTTGGCTTTGTAACTGCTGAAATGAAAATGCTTAATATTTTGGATGTTCTGCAGGAAAATTTGAAACACTTTGGCTATCTAAAGTACAGAGCTAGGAACATGAAATACCAGCATTACTTTAGCTGTTGATTTATGAAGGAACTTCAACACGTTGCAAGGGTTCTGTTTCTCTTGTATAACTGTTCATGTTTGGCTGCAGATGGACCTGAATGTAAGAGAAATGAGCCCTCTGGTGCTGTATGGCCTAGCAGATATAAAGTGGAGTTACTGAAATATTTGACTTTTCTTTCTGGATATAACCTTGACTCAAAATTGAGCAGGCTAAGCAGTTAGTTGCAGAACTAGCAAAGAGCGGTAGCGTTTCAGTGTTTGTGAACAAGGAAGCAAAGAATGTGTGCTGCTTGTAGTTTAAATCTTTTGGGTTTTTGGTGAGAAGTGAGGTGTGACATCCGAAGCTGTTCTTTAGTTGAGATTTTGATTGCATTGTGTTTAGAGTTGTATGATCAGTTGAAACCTCGAGTGACATTTTCTCTCTTGAAGATGTGAATTTCTTTTTTTTCCCTCTGATTCACAAACTACATTTACAGCTTGTAAGTCTGTAAACTGGAAATAATCACTTTGCCTAAAAGGGCTTCTCCAGAAGGGAGCCTTTTTTTTAATACAGAATCTAGAAAGAAGGGAAGCTTTGGTCAATCACTGCCTCAAGTGACTAAAACAAGTCACTGGATTCACTTGATTGTGTGTTTGGATAAGCAGTCAATCTCATATTACTTCTTTGTCTTATGTCAAGAATATCTTACCCATACATTCAGTTTTGTAACAACCGAAAGCTGAGCTGTGAGCGAACAAATAGCTTCTTTATAGAAATACAAATGAAATTGCTGTTTGCAGTTTGTCAAGAGAGATTTCAGCACGTCATCTTAAGACCGCTGGATACCCCCGTTCCTTCACTGAAATGCAACATATTGTTTCTCAACCAAAGTCTCTTTTTCCTTCCCTTCAGTATTTGCAAGCGATGTATTCGAAAGATGGATCATCACTGCCCGTGGGTGAATAATTGTGTGGGGGAGAAAAATCAGAGGTTTTTTGTTCTGTTTACGGTAAGTGAAAATCAACAGCAGCTTGAGCTCAGTATGAAACTGCCTCGATTGTAACAGTTTTGGTTGTGCTTAGTAGTGAGTAGAGACTTAAGGTCACAGTTGTTTTCTGTTGGTTTGCTTTTATTTTTCCCTTCTATGCAAGATATTCTCCAAGCGGGAAGATATTTCTACTCATACTCATTTTAATCTTAATACCATCCTAATTTTGATGTGCTTTATGTAGTAACGATTAGTGAAGTGGCACTCTAACGGAGGGAGCTAATCCTTAAAATTTCATTTACGTTCATTTGTTTTTACATCATTGTATTGAATTAAAAATCGAAATAGGGAAGTCTGTTCACTGTGCAGTGGTGAAGGCTTGCTGAATGTCTGCTTTACTACCTGGCAGCAGCCATAAGTAAGCACTCTCTCTTATTTCCAGATGTATATAGCCCTAATTTCAGCTCATGCGCTCGTACTGTGTGGGTTTCAGTTTTTCTCCTGTGTCCGAGGGCAGTGGACTGGTAAGCAAATACTTCACTCTCACTGTCATAATTTAGTGGATCCTAAGGGAAAGTCATCGCATTCCACCTATTTCAGTCCCGTGTATGAAATATTACAGGACTTCCATCTTTTTAAAGTGAGCTCCTGAAAATATTTCATGCCTGTTTACCCATCTTTCTCTCTTCTCCTTTCTTTTAGTATTTCACTGTAAGAGCTGTGACTGTCAAGGGCTTTCTCACTCCCTTTCCACATAGTAAAAATTTACTGCCTCAGCACTGCATTACCTGAAGCTGCCAGCTGGGCTTTGTGTGTCCTACTACTGTTCTGTGAACAACAGCTGAAACTTAAACAACTTTCTCCTTCGTTCTGTTATTGGAGCCAACTGTGAGGCTCTTGTAGAGAAGACATTTCCTAAACTGCCCCTGTTGTTTGTTTAGGGCCCTGACTTGCACTTCTTAATGTTCCAGAGCTCATTCTGATTTTGTGCTTTTGACAGAAGATGGTTGATCTTGTTTCTTCAGGTACCAGGAAGAACATAAGGGAATCCATGTGACTGTTTTTTGCTTAATATTCTGTTAGATGGATGGAATTTTCATCCTTTTTTTACTTGAAACATGCTGTCATACACATATTTCCTGTATACTTCCATTTCTTCCATATTTAACTGTAATTGAGTTTATCAGAGGACCTCCAGAGATCTGACTGCAAGTCTTAAGTCAGAACCTGATTGCTTTGTATGGTGAATTAAAAAAAGAATAACAAAGGAATCGCAGCAAAGTGGAACATCTGGATTAACGAGCGACTCAGAGCTGACGGTGGTGATGGGTTTACAGTGTTTGTCATGCATGAAACTTCAAGCTGCTCTCATCTTTATATATGTGCAGTTCTGAGTACTGAATTGGCCTCATGTGCAGACGTTTATTTGATGTCCTTGAAATACTGAGGCGAGATTGCAGTAATGCAGTACTGTGTGCTTTATAGGAAGCTGTAAGTGTTGACTCCCTTAAAAGTCATTATTTCCTTGGGCAGCAAATAAAGCTGCTGCAGTGCTAGAAATTAGAAGTTTGTTTTAATTGTGAAATATTGCTTAAAGTGTCAGATATTTAGCTTTTATTAGTGTTTGTTAAAGAGGAGGTGTCTCAATATGAACTTGCTCTATAGATTTTTTTTTAATGTATTTTTTATAACTACGTATGTTGTTTTCACAGAATGCAGTGACTTCTCTCCACCTGTAACTGTGATCCTGATGATCTTCTTGTGCCTTGAGGGTTTTCTGTTTCTCACTTTCACTGCAGTCATGTTTGGCACCCAAATCCACTCAATATGCAATGATGAAACGGTAAAGACCTCTACTTCTGTATGTTTTAACAATTATTCTAGGCAGATGCAATTAGATGTTGTTTTACTTGCATGAGGGGAGGGTCCTATTTTGGAGAACACCCCAAAACTGAAATAGCTCATCACTTTTATGCTCTGCAGATGTAACCGTTGAAATACTTTCTTGGGGTTTGCTTTCTGACAGATGTTGTTGCATTATTTGCTTTTCTGACATAAATTTTATGATTAGGTTTTCAATCACAAGATTGCACAGCTTCTGACTTCAGTTTGGATTTCCACTTAATTACACAGGCTCCTGATATGTCATGAGAAATGTCTGCTTTTCTCAGGTTTACACTTAAACTTGCTATTGTGAATCAATACTTCATACTTCCCTCCTTTCTACGCTTTGAGTATAACAGTAGTTTGAACATTTGGCTCCATTTATTTTGGATGTTCTGTGGTGAATAATTGGCTGGAAACAGAGGGAATTTGAGTCGTCTGTTCAGAATTTTCTCATGTGAGGCTGTTCGAAAGTGAACTTCTGTACTGAAGAGTAACTGAAGAACAGTTAGTAAATATTCAGGCTTATTTAGTGGGAAGTACAAAAAAAAACCAATCAGCAAAATAATGCTTTTGGGAGAGTAAACCTTGCTTCAGTAATTGCAGTACAAGAGCCTTCCTGGAAGCCTTATTGTCTGCTTTCATTAATTGAGTAAACAACGTCCGGTATTTTGTTTCTGTTGCATGCAGATCCTTTAACCTCAGCTTTTCTGGGCACTTTTAGTTTAGGGGCTGGCGGGAGAGGTAGAGGTAAACCAACCTTGGATGTTCCACATCTTCTGCCCTGTACCTGCAGGGTCAAATCAGCCAATCTTATTTCTTACTAAAGAAATAACAGTAAGAGACTTACCAGCTCACATTAAAAGAGTGCAAAATAGTAATCAGTTTTGGTAATCCTATTAGACTTTACTAGACTTCGGGCTTACCAGTGCGTCACTGCATGTCTGTTTGTATACAGGAGATTGAAAGACTGAAGAGTGAAAAGCCGACGTGGGAGCGGAGACTACGCTGGGAAGGAATGAAATCTGTTTTTGGAGGTCAGCCTTCACTGCTGTGGATCAATCCCTTTGCAGGATTTCGGATCAGACGACTTCTACTGAGGGCAAAGAAAGGAGGACCTGAGTTTTCTGTTTGAGTCTAATTATGCTGGAACTTGCAAGAAAGCTATATAATATTTATTTGGGGCCAGAGAAGGCTGACTACGTATAATCTGTGACCAGGTGAAACTGATATCAGACATTTGCTTGTAGCAAGCAGAGTTTTATACGTTTATCGTCACAGACATCTCATTAACTTTCAGAGACATGAACTGGATCTGTAGTGGTCTTAACAGCAAGATAACGAAGGAGAGGCACGTGGTCACACTAAAGAAGCCAAATGTTGTCATGCTACTGTAATTTATTTTATGAGATTATCCATTTTTGTTAAAACACTTTTTATTTGATAAATGTTTGGGGACTTACCTGTGTGTTTTTATAAAAAGTATACACTTAGGTGCAGTTGTCAATCATAAGGAGGAGCATTATGGTGAAAGTTGATCTCAAATGAGACCTGGCCTTTTAAATCCAGTTTTCAGGGAATAGTGGTTCGTTCAATTTTGATTTCTATTTCAGCTTGTCCTAATAAACAGAGCTGTACTCTTGTGTCCCACTTCAGGCACACATTCCTCATATGCAAGTGATTCAAAGGACTGGTGCACACAACAGCACAACACGTCAGAGGCACTGTTACACCCCTGCCAAATGTCTTCCCAGGCTCACAAAAGCATGTCTTGTGTTTGACAGTAATTTAATATCATATGGCGTTTAGGTGAGTTCTAAATCCCCACTAAACACCACTTTTAACGACTGTGGGCCAAATTCTGCCCTCAAATATGCATCTCCAATTCCTAATGCATTGATTCTATGGGAACTTCAGCGTAGGTGTGTGAGGATTATACCTAGTCCTCTGTGTAGGGGTAAGTGGACCAGTGGCTGTATCCTCCTGTGTGAGATTCAAATGAATGTACTGCACGTTGGAGTTGATTAACTCAGAAGAGTTGTCTTTGTAAGGTCTTGCTCTGCCCCCTTTTATTGTACAGACTTCATAGGAGAGCTGTTAACTTAGTGATCCCTTGAAAAATAAATCAGAGTAAAGAGGGAGGTTGCCTCTTTCTCAAATACAACAGATCTTAAATTGTAGATCTATCTGCAATAGGAGGAATTATTTAGAATGTAATCGTTTTCCAACCAAAACTACTTTCAGGAAATGAGAGCAATATAGATCTAGAACTGCTTTATGTGGGCCTGACATACAACAGTAGTGCTAAGAAATGTTTCTAAATCTGCAAGTAATGAAATTCAGCTAAGAGTGGATTCTTTAAAAATTACCTTTAGACTATTTTTTGTATCATTGTTAATCTGTTCTAGAAATTACCGACAATATAAAGAATAAAGCAGGAGCCTTGATAACATAGCTTGAAATTGTGCCTAGAAAGTAAATAGCTCCCTGTTCTGGGACTTGCCTTAAAATCGTCCTGTTCTTGCTTTTGCTTTGCCAGTAGCACTGATGATCTACCCCACCTCAAGCAGTTCAGCGTGCTGAAGAATCTTGCATTATAAGGTTTACATACTACAGAAGCTATACTTTCCTTTTAGCAGCGACCTGCTTCTCCATTTCTTTGTAACTCTCTGTGGCATCTTGATTCCAGCTTCATCAGGTTTGGTACCATCGAGTGGGTGAAATTGCAAAGGGATCCATGTGTTATCTGTGGCCCTGCGAACGAAACTGTGCTATACTGTGAAATGTGTTCACTTTGCCTGGGGGAGGTGGTGTGTGACACTGGAGAATTTCCGGGTGGACACATGCAATGACATTGCAGTCAGACGAACAAAACTACGTCTCATGTCACTGAGGGAAGGGTGGAAGTTCCGCAAGAATCCGCATATTCAGTTGCACATCTTAAAGATTGGGGGAAAAAAAATGTGTCTGGCTTTGTCATGAGGCTCTTAGTGTGTATATCGTTTAACAAAATATCCTGGTGAAAATCAGAAAATATCACTTCAAGCAATTGAACCCTGTGACTTAGCAAGTGTGTGCGTGTGTGAAATCAGGTTTACTTGGCTTTTTGAACCCTCGTTACGTTGTAATTTTTTTTATGTAAAAAAAAATAAAGTAATTAATTGAAGTCTTAGTTGATTAACTTCTGCTCCATATGTCACTTTTTTTTTGCACATATGCGTGCATCTTCACATATATTTAGAGTACAACTTCAGGGCAACGGTCATCCTTTGGTTTGTCAATTCTGTGTACATGTGTATCAAGTAACAGATACTGCTCCAAATTAAAGATGCTCCTGTGCTTACTAAGGGTTTTAAGCTATGCTAGCTGTTTACCTGCTCTTTTTTGCATCCTCTGGTGTAACTGCTTATTAGTAGCTGTGTAAGGCAAGTGTGAACACACATGGTGAATAATTCCTATTTGAAAACTTATCAGAATATCTCAGGCTTTGCACCTTTGAGGTATTTGTGTAAAACAACCTTGGACTCCTTCGTTTCTCTGCACAAATGTTGACTTTTTCCACTATTTCTGTAGGTTCAGATACAAAGGCAGCCACTAATACAACCTGGAAAGCAGCAGCTGTCAGCAGAAAAGCTGACCCAACAAAGGTGAGGGAAAACAAGGTTTACAAAGGCAGTAAAGGATGGAGAGACTGGAAGCAGTTTATTTATTACAACAATTCTAAAAGATGCTTTGGTACCTTTTCTGGGTGTAATATCACACGTTTGCGCACTGCTGCTTTTGTGGAGGAAATAGCTCCAAATGCATTCATATAAACTTTGTGCCACTGCTGCTTGTATTTTTAAGCAGGTTAATTATATGGTTTGGTTGTATGATTTGATTGTATTTGTGTGCCACAACAGTCGGGCTGTGCTGTATTTACGTACATTTTAAGGACGTGCTTGTTTAGCCTCCAAACGGAGCAGAGGGCTGCAGACGGAGCCTGCTCGTTTATCTCCCTTTTCAGTTCATCGTTTAATTTCTAGCAGTGATGTCAGGTTGTTTCATGAGCCCTTTCTGGTGTCTTAGGCTGCAGCAGCGACGACTGAGAATTCACTTATGGATTTCTTTATGCCTATCCTGTGCAGAAATGTTGTGTTTCTATGAATGCTCTCACTTCTGCTGTCGGCACTGTTGTAATATGTGAATGTATTCAATGCTGTTGGAGAAAGCAAGTGGCATAAGAGGTTTTGAAATACAGAAGTTGCACTGTATAAAATGATTCTTGAATCTGTTAATATCACTAAAATGAAATGCACCAGCATTACAGTTCTGTATATTTTTAAGTGTTATTCCTCTGAACAGAGTAACAGCTCAATTCATGTAATGTACTGTGTGGCTGAGTATGGATTGGTGCTTCCTGAGTGATGGGATTATTAATTTTTTTTTTGCTTGTGTCACTCATTCTTTTTTTATGTGTTCTGAATTTCTTCAGGAAGAAACACTATCACTTTTGCAGTATTTCCTGACTCTGTTGCTGTAGTGTTTCTGTTACTGTAATGGAAATTACTCATCATACCCAAATCAGAGCTCTGGAAAAATAGCCATCATGCATCAAACCAATCACAGTCGTCTTAATAACGTAAGTGAAACTTTGCACCTCCAAAATGCTTCTGCAATTTCTTTTAATGCTGTAGTGCAGCATAAAATTAAAGACCTATACTCAGTGTTAGTAAAGCCAAATGTTGTTAAGGAAATTGATAACTTCAAGAGAAGCAGGTAAAACTTTATTACCTGAGATGCACGATTCATGTTCTAATAAAGCAGCTGGCATCTTCCCAGACAACTAAAATAGTTTTAAATGCTGGCTTTGAACCTCTTTTGTTAACAAAATCATAATTCGATAAAGCAGAAGTCTAATAAAATAGTCACTTCCAAGGTATGTTAGCATAAGAATATTGGTTTAATTTAGAGTGGGGCTTGACAGGGCAGCCAGAAAGAGATTTTTTTTTGCTATGAATCTTCTCTGGCCCTTAATTGAGAGCAAGAGTAAATTATTCTTGCTGTTACATTAACCAGCCTAGCTGGATACTGGAGGCTGAATCTGATACTTCCTTGTTCCTGTGCAATTTTATTCTATTGGATAGTATCTCACATTGTTAATTACATCAGTCTCAAGTGAAAGTTGGGATTTGTAGCCGTGGATGATTCCTTTCTACAAAAAATAAATCCCTGTAGTGAAAAGCCTTAAGGTGTTTGCATTGGAGAAATCAATGAACAAACTTGGTTACGAAGGAAAAGCAAACTGCCCGTATGAAATATGAGAATATGGAATTTATTTCCCCCATAGATTTCTTTTCTTACCATTGAGTTTAAATGTACATTAAATTTCTGGCACAGTAGTGTGATCTAGGTGATGGAGGAACTGGAAGCAATGTTAGCCAAGCACAGTTGCATCTGTCGTGCAGCAGACATGCTTGCTGCAGAAACTGGTTTCCAGTTATCGCTGTTTCAAATCAAAGCTATCGGCGTATTAGATCAGATCAAATTCATCAGAGACAGTAGAAAAATAAAACATGGTGATCCTAGGTGAAATTCAACCCAGTCTTCAATGGTTTTCTTGAATGGTAACTAGAATATCTCCCTGCGAATGCAAGGTAGCCTGAGGACAAAGTATTCCCCGTTTGGTGAGGGTTCAGATGCTCTTCCCAACTTCCCGTTCACTCAATAAGGTTGCATTTCTGTGGTGTCCTCTGCTGAGATCTCCAAGTGCTCCACGAGCGGTGGTGACCTTGGCCTCAGGAAGCCCATGGGCTGGCAGATTTGTGTGTGAAGAAGTAAGAATTCTCCATCGTGTCCTCAAGAGCTGGTGGAGCTCATTGGGCTTCTATGCAGGTGAGCCTAAGTTTCGTAAGTCCATTCTAATTCTGTTCAGGTTATGCAAATACACACCATGACCAAGTGTTGGGAAAGGTTGAGGTTGTGTAGTCACCTATTGGGATAATTTTAAATGGCTGTAATATGGTTAATGGTTGCCTACTGCTGATGAAGTTTTAGTGCAGAAAACCCTTTATGTTTTAAATACAAGCATTTTGAAAAATATATGTCTCCCAGGAGACACACCTCTCTTTTTTATTTTTGCTACTTTAGAGCTTTGAAGTTTAGGTTGCAGACATTACAAAAATAGAGAAAACTACAGAAAACTCCTATCTGTGTACTGGGAAAAGGGGGGTTTTTTTTGGACAGTTTTGATACAACTATTGCTGTTTCTAAATATGGTTGCATTAAGTTTGGAGGAGATAGAAAACAGTGATTTGGTAAGAACAGCTTCTCCAGCTTCCTGCCAGTTGTGGGTTTTACCAGACACAGCAGCCATCGTCTGCGTTAGATGTGCACACAAGAAATGTGCACAAATGACTCACAGATATACTGGAAATTATGGAAAAACAACAAAATGTTGCTACTTCTGGTCACAAAGAATAACTGACCAACTTTAAATGTT